TTCCTGTCTCTGTGCCATCCTCTTCAGCCCGATCCACCAAGGAACACGTCCTCACGTGAGCCCGATCCCTTCCTGTCCATAGACTGTTGCTCTAACCCGTTTGCTCTCCATATCTCTCTCTCTCTCCCAGCACCTGTTCAATAAAGCTCTGTTTACTTTACCTCTCCATCCCTGGTCTCCTTCTGTACTGTGACACCACCTCTGCTCTATGTAGATGTGTCCAATGTTTGATATTGGAGCAGACTGTGCACAAAACAGAGCCAATCGGCAATAAGGAGTGTATATACTCACGATGATGCAGTGTGTGGGGGGAGGAGACAGCTCAGCTCAGTAAAGACAGAGACAAGAGAGATGAATATACTCTGTCTTGTGTCATATTCGCTTGTTTGTTCATTTGTTCGGAGCTGTCAAGATAGGGGTGTGATCCTTTTGGGTAATGTGCTTGTTTGTTTTGGTGATTTCAAATATCAACAGTGTTTCTCAGAAATCACTAAGTGCACCTATAAGTACACCGTATAAGTGAGCGTACTGATGATGAGTATTGACAATCCAATATGTATGATTTATTTCTGGTGGCATTTGTGTTTGTTTGTTTGTTTGTTTGTAGTAGTTTCATAAAAAATGTAGGGTGAAAACATGCTAACACTTTATGAATGTGTTTTACTTGCCAGATCCATGTATGCCAGAGCTGTGTGGGTGGAGCATGATAAAGAAGTGGAGGGAACGGCGCCAGACAACTGGATTGATGCTGAAAAAAAAATCATTAGATGGCCAAAAAAAGGGGAAAAGGCAGCTTTCCTCAATCGGCACTCCCCTCCGGATGACTGGATGACGTTCACCTTGGTGAAGCGTAAAATGACCTCCAGTAAGTTTTTGTTAACATTCTAATTAGATTCTTTGCTCTTTGTCAAAATAAAAATTGTAAGGAAGCCAAATGAGAAAAATCAAGTCAAACTTACGGGTGCTCCAATGGGGAGCTGTATCGGTCGAGCACCCTTAGTCTATAATATTTAAAAGATATTAATTTGTACAATTACAGAATCTGATGATTTGGAGGAGGAAGAAGAGAACATGACAGGTAACGGTTTCCTAAGCTTGCTGACACTCCACACCTAAGTAGTTCTTATAGAATTGCAAAGTTATAAGATTACAAAGTTAATGCTCATTATTTTTACGACTGATGCTTACATTTAATTTATATACTGCATCTGTCTAGATGCCATTATGTCCTCTTTTCCCATTCCACCAACAAAGGTGACAAAGCCCATCCAGATGGAGTCTGCTGGATTTAACAAAAAGTCCACTGGCACTTAGTATCCATTACTTGAATCTACTAATTTCTTTCATATTTTTTTCTTGCATAATTATAACATGATGGTGGTTACGAAATCGTTGTTAATGTACATTTGCAAATTTTCAGACTCTGTACACTCGAATTTTGCCAGGTCTCACCAGACTGGTGTTGGGTCCAGGGACAGGTCCACAGGCAGTTAGTAATCATCATATTAAACCAGTCACCTCAAATACCAACTCATTTTATCAACCACAAAACATTTAATCAACCACATTGTGTGTGAATACAGTTGAAGGATTTTTTTAAATTAACTCAGTGTTTTGTTTTTCAGACCCTGGGCATTTAAATGTAAACCAAGCCAGTCAGTTGAGGGGTGCTGGGTCCAGTCATTAGTCCAGCCACAGTGACGGGTCCCAGCACAGCAAACGGTACTGACACAGGAAGCAGTCCAGGCACAGCGACAGGTCCAGGGACAGCAGCCAGATGGGACAAGGCAAGCAGTCCAGGCACAGCGACAGGTCCAGGGACAGCAGCCAGATGGGACAAGGCAAGCAGTCCAGGCACAGCAACAGGTCCAGGGACAGCAGGCAGATGGGACAAGGCAAGCAATCCAGGCACAGCAATTTGTCCAAAGACAGTATTCATTCAAACCCTTATGCAGTTCACAGAGGCAAGAACATAAATGTTCTAAAGTATTTATGTATTTTAGTGTTGTGAGATATTCTGAACATATTTTCGACAACTGGTTTTGTGTTTAACATTCTGAGCCTCATGGTTGAGCATATGGTTGTGCCGAAGATATATCGTGTCAGAGATATTGCCTGTTGCTGATGCCTTTGACGATAGCAAAATAATAATAATTATTACTATTATCGGCTGGTATAAACACAAGCATTGACTATAGTGGCTGCGATCAGTTTGTGGCCTTGTCAGAGCCGTAACGTGCCGTGTAAATAAGGGGTAAGAGATTTATTCATCATACTGTGTACATAGCTTCACTGATTATAACGGGAGTGTTTTTGCACCGATTGAGCTTGACTGACTGCTGAGTACAGCAGAGCAGGAATTGCACACTGGGGTTGCTTGAGTCATCCAAACTTAATAAATCATATGGGCACAAAACTTGCTACAAGAGCTATATCCACTATTACGAACAACAAAGTAATATTTGATACATTTTGTCTTTCAGATTATGAAATTGATCAAACACAAATCTCAAGATACTCTGGAAGGTCTTTCTCAGAGCAGAGTAACAGGTCCTCTGCACATCAATCCAGTCGTACAGGGCCTCGTAGGGTAACGGACTTAAGATTTCCAATGGATATGGCAAGTACTTCAGTCGGAACTGTTATCAAAAGCACAAATAATGAATTGAACAGGACATATAGCATTATTTAGTCATTTATTAGACGCTTTTATTCAAAGTGACTTACAAATGAGGACAACAGAAGCAATCAAGTGTAGTATTAAAACAACTAAAAACAGATCCAAAACTAAAAGCTAAAACTTTATAAATACTACCTATACACATTTTAAAAATAAAGAGATTAAATAAAAATGACAAATGCATACAACAACATTTCAAAACTTAACATTTAAATGAAAAACAAAAAAAAGCTAAAAACAATTACAAATATTAAAGAACAAAAGGTATGAGTATAATAATGATTATAACATAACACTAAGCCAAACACCAAAAAAAACAACTACATGTGTGTGTGTACAACCACACACACATATACATACATACTGTATATGTACATACACATATATATATTATTTCATTTCCATTTAGTTTGTTGAAGTATTAAAATAACTCAAATTAAATCAAACTAAAACTTAATAAAAGACATACTAAATTCAGACATAATTTAACTAAAATTAAAATAAATAACAAATACAAATAATACAAATCAAATGACAGTAGTTTATCAGTAATCCTAAAAAATAACACTGTCAAACACACATGCTAAAAAACAACAACTTACTGACACATAGTAAGAAATGGTTATAAAAACTGAAACAGAAGCGAAACAAGCTTTAGCAGATTTAACTTACACATCTGTTTAAGGATAACAATAGCATAATTTTCCTATTGGCTCTTTGCCAGCAGTATAAACTGACATGAAGAATTTAACGTGTTTCTTTTTTCTTTCAGAGTTTCAGAAAAAAGTCTTGTCTAAATTGGTGGAAATCCACATGGAGGTCAGAAGGTTGGGAAGAAGTGAGCCTCCCCTTTCATCCACCCATACAGAGCAGCTGGAGACGATGGAGGACTTTGAGAGAGAGGAGGAACGCCTCAAGGACAAGCAAGCCTTTGAGCCTCTGGCATGATTTGCAAGACATACTCTGGAGGTGATGTCATTTTATGCGGTTTTATTTATTAATATTCTTCGTCATATATCAGTGAAGCATGTTACAGTCTAATGTTTTCTAACATGACAGGAATATTACCCCCTCTCTTTAAAGGTGTTGCAACTTGCAGGAATTGGAGGGAAAGATGTAAGGGATTGTGTCCATAAAATTCTTGACAGGTATTTTCAACAGTATCCCTACATATAGAACTTGCCAAACATGATACATTTCTTGTCACAGTTTGATGTGATCTCTGCTTCTCTGCTTATACTCTACTCTCATGTTGTCCCAAATCTGTATCGATTTCTTTCTTGTACTGAACATAAAAGTTCTTTTTTTCTTTTTTTAAGAATGTGGGTAACCAAACAGTTGCTGGTCCACATTGACTTACTAAGGAAGTCACTAAGGACCAGCAACCGTTTGGTTACCCGCATTCTTCAAAATAACTTTCATGTTCAACAGAAGAAATAAACTCATTTAGGTTGAAAACAACTTGAGAGAGGGAAAATGATGAGTGGATGATCATTTTTGGGTGAACTATACCTTTAATGTTAACAAAACATCTTGACTGAAGAACTTTAATACAGTTGCTTTAATAAGAATCAAGTGTTACACAGTGAAGTGTGCTTTATTTATATTTATTCATTCAAATCTCTTGAATGTTACTGCTAAATACACCTACTGTACCTAAAAACAAAGCACTGTTTGTTTGTATATTATGTGTATTTTTAATGTGCATCTTTGTTCTTATTTTTAATAACAAAGATAAAATAATGACAACGTTTTTTATCTTCGCCCACTAAATATCTTCCATTGTTTTTATATTTTATATTTTGTTACCTTGTAAGGCTTTGTTTTTAAAATAGGCAAATTAGTTTGTCTGTACTGCTCAGACGACTTGCAAAATAGTAAAACCAACATGACAAAGAATTGTGATAAAATCGTAAGTGTGATTTCCCTGAAAAAAATTGTGAAATTATATTTTTGCAAGTTAATCCACTAAAAAAAAAA